TTTTAATTAACAGTATAAACAAGAGAGGAGGCATTAATTATGTAGTTTTAATTTAGTTACAAATTTGTTTTATTGTTTTATAATATTCATTTTCATGCAAACATAATTTTTGTATTACTAAATTAAATCTTTTATAAAAATTACCAGGGATCTAATTATGTTTTTTTAAGTACAGTAATACCTTGCATAATGCGGTTCCATTAATATTCCGCACCACTTGAAACCAGCACTTTAAAATTAAACAGCATAAAAAGAAACTTGACTGTATAAAGAGGTAAACACGATCATTTTCAATCATTTTTTTTTAGAAATTATTTATATTTCGCTGAATTAAAATTTAGTATATTTCAATCCCCAGATTTGTATAAAATTAAGGTCAATTGATAAAAGCTTTAACACGTGACTACTACGGACAAATTAATAAGACACAAGTAGTTTTTACTTATGTAAAAATGACTTCCTTTGACTGTCAATCTGCAGCTATCCTTAACACTGTCATTGTCCATCGAATTGGCCGGAGGTCCATATGCTGAACCTCATTCATTTCACTGTCCATCTGTGATGAACGATAGCTCTATTGCTGCAAGCACCGAGAGGGCTCACAAAGGGCTTGACCAGGATTTGAACCTGCGCCCACTAGTTCGTGTGTAGGGCGACTTAACCATTCGGCTATTAGTCGCCCAACATCATTTTAAACTGACTTTATTGCTTAAAACAAACAGTCTGGCCATTTTTTATGTTGTGTTACAAAATGTTGCTGTTTTCTTATCGCTCTTGGTATGTTTTCCAAGTAAATTTTGTTTACCCTTAATATTTGCTTTTTCAAATTAATTCTTAGTTTACACATTTTATTATATTTCTGTATAAATTTGATAATACTTATTACATAATTAGAGCGATTAAATAAAATTGCTAATTATTTTCTGCTAAATGTATTTACTACAAATGTTAATTTTTGGAAAATTTATTTAATGCATTTTGTCTAATATATTTACGCAACATATATTTGATACCAGAACTGTTTAATGAAAACGAAATGGAGATAAATTCCGACCAACTTAAAACTATTTAATTAATTGAAACAAATATTTGTAAATTATGATTTATTCATTCAGATTATTTAAAAATAGGTACTTGCAATAATGAATCTAAAGTGTGCTATAAATGTATAATAATTTTAAGTAATGGAGACTTTAATTAGAACAGACAGAAGGTCTATGTTGCTATTATGAAGGAGTAATAACGTTTCATTATTGCGGTCGGTATATAAATTGAAATAGATTAATTTCGTTGAAGTGTTTGTGGATTTGTTAAAATAAATAGATTTCGTTTTGGCCATACGAAAAGCAAGTGCAGACATTACTTGCTCCCCGCTCGGAACATCTGTTCCCACGGGTTCAACAATTTAGTTCCCAAGTTTCATCGGTCGATACTACACTAATAATGAGAAAGGGAAAAGCAGGGTGAATCCTGTATACATGAAAAACATTTATTTCCAAACAAAATTATCATAAATTAGGATGGAAATATCTACGGTCAACAGCACTTTGCGATGATTTATGTAGTTTTTTATTTTACACAACCTATTCAAATACGATAATTGCTAACCGAATTGTACGTAAACCAATCATCGATTTAAACCTCCGTTACTCGAGCGGTATTCCGTAATATAGTTAATCGCGTGGCGTCTGAGAAAGTTCGTTAGTAATTTAAATAAATAAGCCATTATTTATATGCCATTATTCTAAGCATGTTTATTATATAAAATGTTCAGAAAATATCTTCACGTGCTAAGAATACTTTGCTGTTAATCCGAGATGTGCATTTTCAAATCTTCATTCAGTATGAAAAAGGTACATAGGTCGGGATTGCCTCACCTTTCTAGCTTTAAAAGTTATGGTTGGTTTATACCAGAGGCTCCCAAACTTGTATGTGTCGTAGACCCCTTGCCATGTTTTTCGGTTTTGGGTAGACCCCCCAATTACCTGATATTGATTTTTAGTAAATTTCTAACTGTAGTGAAGTTTAGTGTTAAAAACTTAAAGTAAAAACACAAGTTAAGTTTTATACATTTATTAATTTAATTTAAATTAAAACTACTCAAAATAAAATTTTGTATCTGTTATATAAAATATACGTAACATAAAATAAACTAAGCAAAAAGTAATTTTTTTTAGTGAGAAGGATGAACCTGATGCTTTAATAATAAATTATCGACATTTGGTATCAATTTTGTAAGGTTTAATCTTAAATCTACTAGGCTAATGATGTCCAGTCTGTTTCTTTTTTTCGTTAGGAGATTGGTAACAGCGCTGAACCCTATTTCCACTAGGTATGACGATGGAAAGGAAATTAAAAATTTTCTTCGCTTATTCCAGGTTTTTACAAGTTCAAAACGTATTGCGACCACAAAGCGAATGCCTACAACTTACACAATTTTATAAACATATATAATAATTATTTTACTTCATAGGTACTTTTATACATAATGTATATGTCTTTATATTATAAAATAGTATAATGTAAGTAAATAGGTACTATCAGTGTATGTTGAGATCCACTATAGTGGACCCCCATTTTCATTTCACGGACCCCCAAATTTTTTTTCGCTGACGTATACCCCTTGTAGGCTATCATAGACCCCTGGGGGTCGATATAGACCACTTTGGGAATCACTGGTTTATACCCACTGGCGCGTCACAGACGCCGCGCGATTATTGGAGGATTAAGAAGTAGCTATTAGCTTTCAAAAGTAAGGTGACTTAATCTCCATATAATCACTAGTAACTGCACCCAAGCGTGTATGTGTATGTTGTTCGAACATAGAAATGTTTCGCAAAAGTGTTAATAAACTTATTATATTTATCAAATTTTGTCTTAAATATTAGTAATATTACCATGTACTAATTTAGAAGATTTTTAATGTACAAACAATTTAATTTTAGAAAAACTAGAATAAGGATATTTTACTATGTCCTAACAATTTGTTATATAATAACGATGTCTATAGTCTTTCTTAGGTTAATATCTTACTTCATATCATGAATACAATTTATATTTACTTCTTTTTCATTAATAATACATTTTTATTGAAGTACTTAAATTAAGAATGAAATTCATAAATAATTGATGCAGCATGGCGAGGGAAGTAGCAAACAAATGGATATGGAAGTAAACTGACGTCGGTATTTTTAAGCAGTAATCGATTCCGGCTCCGAGGTCTCATCAATCAGACTTGAAATAAAGTTTAAACGCTGTCAAATGGAAGGCGATTCGAGATTTTCCCCATAAAGAGAAAAACGCGGATAAGTCGACGAAGAGAGAACGAGAACAAAGAAAATTTACAGAGATATATACTTTTTTCCCTTCTTTTTTTACTCCCCAATCGTTCGCCAAAAACTCGATTTAATCTTGTAATCAATTAAGTTAAATAAACCGCGCTCAACTTTCCTTATATAAATTGCGTATAAGTTTGTGATCCTGAATTTTCCCACGATTTTCACATCGTCGGCTTGGCTCTTCCACAGTAATTTACACCTATAATGTTACTAACTTTAAACTCAAGACTGTGCATTTCCTATATAATAATATTTTCTAGGAGTTGTTTTAGTTCATAGTTTACGTACTATTAACGTGCTGCGCATTTAACTTTTAAAAGTATTTATCTTTATGAAATAAAAAACAGGTATTCCTCGCGTAGTGAGTTTTCTTGGATTCGCTATAGTCCGGTTTTATAATTTTTATATAAATTGATAAAATTAAATCACAACTATTTACAGAATTTACACCTGTCAGCGCTTTAACTATACAATATAAACTAAATAAATAAAACTAATATATTCGTACAAATTGCCAAACTATCCTGACAAGTAAAATATTAAGTAGTCATGACTGCATTTTTTCTACATACAAAAAGTGTATCCTTATTTTAAATACTGACACTTTATTTTAACAGTAACACAATATAAAACTACGTGCACTTAAATATAGTCATACCTCGATTAACGAACAATTTGCTTTCCCTAAAATTACATCGTTTTCAAAGGTAAAAATACTTTGAAAAAAATAGGGAAAAATTCATTCGTAATAAAAATGAAAAACTTTATTTGAACAAAGCAAAGTTTGTTTTTTATTTTTTTTAAACTTAGTTTGTTATTCTTTAATTTTATCTTCATTTCCTTTAACTTTGTTGCTAACAAGGTTTAATCTTTCACTATAAAACTGAAATTGCAGGCCTTATGTTCAAAGCTTCGCTATCAGAGGTAACGTTAACGGATGTATAACTTTTTATGTCTTTAAGAAATATAATGAAAAGCTAAATAAATAACACCAAAATCATATTATAAAAAACTTTTCAATTATTACTGAATACCTACCTATACTTGACGTTATACTTTTCAAGCAGTATAATATGTATTCACATTAAAGCTTCGATAAAAAAAATCTCATCGTACGATTGAAAATATTTTGATGGAATTCGAGTTATGAGCTTGTGGTCATCAAACAGTCCAATAAATAACATGCCATAAATCAAATGCCTTTGACCCTAAAGCCATAAATAAATTGATGAGATATCACTCGTAAAATATTATCAGTAAATTATTATTTTCTATATACTACACCCAATCTTTTTACACATAATATTTATAGCAAAAACTATAAATATTTACAAAAAAAATATTTTGAAATTATTTCAATTGGATACAAAATTTGACTATAAATAATCCTACTTATGTTACTAATTAGTTTCTTTTAAATTTATATTAGATCGTTTTCTTTTTTTGCTAATTAAGTTTTTGATGGTCGAGTCGGGAACTTAATTAAAATTCTGGAAAACCGGTGATTAAAACTTTTCAGAGAATATCTTCTGTCTGTACCATACATAGAATATTTCCAATTTGTACTGCTGCTTCCTACTATTACTATTTTTTATTAATATTGTACTATCAAAGGACTTATATGCGGTATATTAACGATTGCCATTTATTTGATTTTTGCAGATTGACCAGCGAATTGAAAAACACGGACACGAACAGAGCCTTTGCTTTGATGTCGCATTGGCTTTGTTATGCCAATAGCGCTGTGAATCCGCTAATCTATAACTTCATGAGTGGTGAGTATCTTTAGTCATATAATATTTCAAAAATCTCAATATAAAACAATAATAATTTCTTCATATAGAAAAATCTAGTATTTATCTTGTATGACATTACTCTTAATTGAAGTATGAAAATATAAAATTATTCTTTATAATTTTTTATAATTCTTTTAAATTTATTTTTATATTCTTTATAAGTTTCTGATTAGAATCTTTTAATATACCTCACAATACCTTTAAATACTTCACAACTCAATTCTTTTGGTCCACGGCAATCTGTTATTCTTGTTATGCCTTACACTCATATTTACAAGACAATACGAAATTATTTTGTTCTTTATCAATGAATGAATTGAAGTAACTACATGTAGTTTGCGTTTACAATACAAAATTACAAAAGTAGCATCACTGAAACTTTTGAATTAAACGTAAGATTGCCATGGAATTTTGACAGGCGTCGTCTGAAGGTTGGTACTTCCTAAATATCATATGGATTTGTGGACTAAACTATTGTGCGAGGGGTTAAATATATCATTCAACTCAAGTATACTCACTTGCATTACATTTATAATTATACTTCGATTAACGTTACCTCTGAAATCGAAGTCCTTTCATCAAACATTCAAGAAATTAAATAATGGCTGATTTTGAACAACCAGAAAAAGATTCTGTAGATATTTCAGTAAAGTCATAATTTGTTTATCCCTCCGTTGTCCAAGTGAGACCAATGAGAGATAACTTCTAATTCTAATGTTAGAATATTTGTTTCTTCCCATCGCTCACCCATATTAAGATTAATTAATGATTTTTAACACATATTTTTATCTTTCTCTACACATTTTAAATATTTTTTTGGTGCCATTTTCAATTTTGAAAATAGAACGATAATTTCCAGTTTTATGACTATATTTTGGAAATTTGTTCCGGGTTTCCGGTTCAGCAACATTTTCTATAAAATGTAGAAATATATTTTCGTGTATTTATTTTAATTAAGTCACATTTGTATTGTCTAAGCCAACGCTTATTCATACGTGGAAAAACAATGTATTCAGCTCATAAATGAAAGATAAATGGTGGCTCAGTGCATCAAATTGAATTATTGAAGATGCGAAATGTAACATCTTGAAGCATCTGTCGACGTGAAGTATTTAAAATGTAAAATTTATCGACTAGCGTGTAACAGGCATTCGAACCGCCCCATTCGAAATTTATACCTTATTACCAGTCAACTGTCATCTCCATCTTATAAACCTCGCGGCACCCTTCCAGAATCTTTCATATGGATCATCGATTGAAACGCTCCGAGTATATTTATTTATGAAAACTTTGTTTGTAGACACGTACTTCGTTATTAGATGCTATCAATAAATGAGCGGCAGTCAAAGATTTACAACGAAAAAATGGAATGGTGGAATCTGCGCTACGATTTGATGGAAAATTAATGCTCGTAACGTTTTCTGAACGACCGAGGGAGAAAGAAACTGTGTCATTACAGAAATTCCCCGACGGAATATTTCATATTTGGAATGTGTTAGCTGGTCCAAATACCTTCATAACCTTTTGTTCCACGGCAATCTGTTATTCTTGTTTGCTCTTACACTCATATTTCCAAGAAAATACAAAATTATTATATAATATCCAATAAACATACATAAAAAAATAATATATATTATTCTAAATTATTTGTTAAAATAAATTATACGTAAAAATAATTCAATTGAACAATAGGAAAAAATATCAATTTTGAAGCAAATTAATTTTACATTTTAATTTTTATACAAAATGGATAAGTTAACTAAAAATAATATTTTATTGGGCGAAAAGACCATTGTCAAAATAAATATGTTACATGTTTTGACTTTTTTTAAAACAAAAATTATAAAAGTTTCTTAAACAAAATATTGCTGAATTTGATATAAATTTTCATAAAAATACGAATACTACAAAATATAAAATTTATTAATTAATAAAGTCAACTTTCAGTAAATGAAAATTTTAGCGTCTTTTGCAAAGAATATTGTGTTAAATAATTAATGACCTTCTTTAATTATTCCCGACCTTCTTATTGTGTTTATATATATTTTTTTCGGTTTTACATATTGTATTTTGTTGAGTAATAAAGGGGTGGAAAGCTGAAAGGCGAGACGACGGAGATTGAATTATTATATTTTTAATTACAACATTCATTCTCTCTATAATTTGGTTACTAATGAAACATAAATATATTTAATGTCGTCGCACGGTATAATGTTACAGTTCCAAATATATGTTTCGCAACAAAATTAATAAGGTATTGTTATTAAAATAATTTTAATATACAGTGAATTTTAAAAGGAGACTTGATTGCGTTTCCACTTACACAACTGACAGCACTAATTCTTGACAACATCGCTATTATTTCTTAAAATATGTATACAAACATTTTTTCAGTATTTGCATGAAAATTAAAATTATGAGAAAAATAAGTAACATATTAAACAGGTTTTCATACAAACGCGGAAAAACACTAGTTTGTAATATTATTTTTTAAGTATCAGACTTGAGATGATATTCTAAACGACAAACTTACCCGAGTATATTCCACTTTGGAATAAGTCCGAAACAAAAATTGGTATACGAAGAAAGTTCGAATTCGATTTGCTTATGTCAAGTGGTGTGCCTTATGTCCTTGATCGATTAATTTGAGTAGAAGGTAGAGGCAAAGTTCATTAGACAGACATTTAGTAAACGTCAAAGCTGATGTTTTTCAAAATAGGTCCAAGTAAGGAAAGAGAAAATAAAGTTTGTTTTTTATTTATTTCATCTAATTTATTTTTATTTAAGAATTTTAGTATTACGTTTATTATGAAAAAAAATCTTTTGTATACGTCCTGTCCTATATAAGTCTAAGAATCTGGAACGGATTATGGAAATATTAGAAAAGGTTTTTAAAGTCATTTTAACTACTACTACTAACTAACATTATATGATAAAAAAGGTACTTCTTGTTTTTTTTGTGAACATTAAATAAAACTTATAGCAGTTGACATTTGTTTTTTTTTGGTAAACTTTCCCAATGGAAGTTTTACCATTCTTTTCTTCGTTTTTTAATAAATTAGTTGGTTGGTTATAGGCTTAACTTCAGTAGTAATTGATGCACTATGATTATACAATTTTCTTTCTCTGTGAATCTATAGCTGTCCTTAACACAGTCATTGCCCATCATCATGACTGGAGGTCCATATAGTAAACCTCATTTAAGTGACTGTTTATACATTCATGAACGTTGATCCTATTACTGCGAGCACTGAGGGAGCTCACAAATGCAACTTAACGTTTGCCTAAAAAATCTTTTAAAATCTTATATAATTATTTAAACTTCACATCTATGTCATAATTCTGCTGCAAATTAACAGTAAACTTGAACCCCAATTATTCTATGGACATTTAAAATATGTTTTGTTATAAAATGAAGATATTTGTGTAACAAATTATATATTTATACGTTTCTAGACAGACAATTTCAAATAATAATATATTTAGCAAACCCACAGGAATTCATTTAGAAATTTCTCAATAATTATCAAGAAAAGGGACATTTTTTATATTAATGCATATTGCTTGTTGAAGAAAATTGATTATACTTGTGTCTCGTTACAGATATATGTTTTTGTACTTAAATTGTTTTAATTAATTAATTATTGTAGTTTTATTCCGCGATAATCGACAAAATTATTAATGTCCATGAGCAATTACGATCTACAATTGCAATAACTCATTACTGACAGTATTGCTCTTTTGTCAATATGCATATCATTAGGTCGCTATATATTGAATAATTTCCAAACGGTTTAATTAACTCTGATTGTGTATTAAGCCTGATTGCATTTGAATTGGTCTTCAATCTACAGAAACCACATGTACACATTTGCATTATTTTCTTTATACATTTTTATAATTCACGAATAAATATATATATGTATTATTAATTATCTAATAAAATTTAAATGTAATACAAAAATTCGTATAAAATATATCAAAGAATAAAACATTTATTTACTTTCGACTTCTTCAATGATTTAAAAAAAAACAATTTTCTGTAAAATATTTGGAATTATATCAAATTTCAAGTAAACAACCGGTTTGAAAACTAAAATTATATATATTATATATTGCAAGTTCTTTCAATTGTTGAGTTAATTTTGTTGTATTAATTTATAGTTATAATTCATAGATATATACAGAATAACATTTTATCATATCATATTTCTTAACAAAGCAAAATGTAGTTAACATCCATATATGAATCTAATACCTTTATTAATAAATTAACTCCAGTTTTATACCTGAGCGATCGAGGTTTTTAAGACCGCACAAAAAGAGATTTGACTGAAGCCGGACTATGTGAAGTTAAGTGTATTTAAATTTGAGTGAATAAAATATGATTTTTTATGATTATGTGATAATATTTTAAAGCAAGTTATGCATATATTTGTTTGGATTTTCACAGAATTCATTGAGAATATGACTTATTGTGTAGAATCTGGTAAAGCATCATAGCGTATATTCGAACCACGTTGCTATTATTAAGTTTATTGCATCATAAATCACTACAAATCCGTCTACTTAGGAAATTAGTACATACTTATGTGCATTGCTCACTTTATCATCATACTGAAATTAATAGTACCAGCGCATCCACCAAAAAAAAACATTTTCTTGAATATAAAAGATAATAAGCAAAATTTGTTTTTCTTTTCATATTGGCATCAGGAAAACAAATCACACGATGCTCGTATAATGGTTTTGACAGAAAAATATCCCTACTATAATAATAAAGAGTAACGATTTTGTTTATACATTTCTATTAATATATATACATATTTAATTTCATTGACTAATTATTTTTTTTTAATAAGTTGATATAAATAAAACTTAAACTATTGAGAGTGAATCCTTAAAAAAAAACTATAATTTAATTAAAAGGAAAAATGTATTGTAAGTAAAATTTAATTATACGTACTTGAAAGTAATTGTCGATAAATATTGAAAATAATAAAAATTTTAACAGACAGCACAAACAATACGATAACGTCGCTCCGTAATTAGTTTTGCATAACTAACCAATATGCAAGGAAAATATGGTTGAAATGTAATTGGAAAGTTATAAAGTTTACATTAACAAGTTTTGATACTCCGGTCATTGATTTTAATTAATATTTAATGAACCCTTTCATGGCAGAATTAACAGTTTCAAGTTATATTTTTTTTTATAAAATATACTTATAAGGGACTAAACATTATCAAAATTAAGTTAGAGTTTAATTTAATTTTATACTTTATATAAAATAAATTGTTATATGGTCTATCTGTTCTAGATCTAATTAACTGTATGTACGGCCTAAAAATATAAAAAATATAACATAGATTTTTTTCTGAACATTACGTTCGAAGAACGAAGATTATTACTACATATTATATATCTCACACTTCTATACTAGAACTATACTCAACTAATACTATTTAACTAATAATGTTCTTTGCCATGCTTAACTCCTCCGAGCTAAGATTCCTCGACAACTGCATGGTGTACACTGTTGCCACCTTCCACAACCAATAAAAATAATACATTTGATTTGCAACTTCTTCCTTTCAATTCCACACAATTTTAGTCATTTTTTTAGTGAATTATTTTTGACAAACTATTTTCATGCGATTTGTTTATTAATTACATATCAACAACTTATTTAGAAATAAAAAAAAATTCTATTACTTTCGTTAATCTTTTCTTAATCTATACCATATTATCGGACATTGGACGCAATATTTTTTGTAACAATATAATTTAAGACTAATATTTAACTTTTGTTAAAATTACAATATTATTTTCAGTAAATAAAACTTTAGAGTAAATTTTTTTGCGGTTTGTGTATATAACTTTTCTTTAATATATTTGTCAATGGAAAAAGAAGTAAAGACGCAAGAAAAAATATTATACTAAACAAAATGAACTTTCTCAATAAATATCCTATTAATAAGTGTAAAAAATGTGACAAAACAATACATCATATATGGAGACTTTCGTTCATGCAGTTTCATACAGTGTGTGATATTGGCTGAACTGATTAGCTGAGGTATACAAGGTACCTATTTTAAGATTACTTCATAACATATAATAAAGTTTTGAAGTTAATACATTATGAACCATCTTTCAGACATATGAATATTTAGCTAAATTTATTGAAAATTCCTCAAGTTCTAAGATTTTTAGGATGTAATAAAACATTGATATATTTTGTGATTCCTATTAATTGATACAAGCCATCTCCCTTTTCACATAAATCTGCTGTACGTTGAAAATACTTTGCTATAAAAGTTCAGAACGTTAAACGTTATAGCCCATCCGCGACAATACTTTTGTTACAAAGGTTTATATCAGAGATATTTTCTAACGGGTTATTCAAATATTTCAATGCGATACGGGCGTCGGAACAGAGTAGTCATAAATCGCTTTCATCATTTTTCTCTCGCCCTCAAGAAGAACAGGCGTCATCCACTCGAGCAGTTCCGGAATTGGAGACCAGTTTCGTAACGCTTCCAATGCACACCCGAATTAATTCACCAACATGATTTTAGTATTTAAAATTCCCGTTTCGTCGCATTCATCTTCTCCCCTTCACACAAAAAAAAAGAATCCACTTCCTCCCGGGCAAGAACCGAAAATAAAACGAAGAGGAGAAAAAAAACGAGAATCGATTACTCATTCATTCAAGTCCGTGCTTATTTACACTTTGAGTCACTTCCGAGAGGTCCATTGTTAAAGCAGACAATTTTGTTGCAGGGAAATTCAGGAAGGAGTTCCGTCGTGCCATCGATTGCTGCTCTTCCTCGGACGGTCAGAGGTCCTACGAAATGAACAGCTTCTACTACAAGAGCCGCGGGGATTCCTCGATGATGGTGAGAAGTTCACGAAAGAGGGACGCAGAAATGCGCAAATTAAACAATTCCGATACGGAATTTATGATCCAGAGGCGAGGAACCAGGACGAGCGTCGTCAAAATCGAACTATAAATAAAAAAAAACAATGAAAGAGAAAGAGAAAATGAGGAAAACTCTCCTTAATTATTATAGAAAGGTATTTCATCGATGCACATATTCCACTCCGCTCAATCCCTTGACTATTGTTACCTTTGTACTCAACCGGGCGCAGTATTCGCAATTAAATTAACTAAATCAACCTGAATTTGAAGTTGATTCAATACAATTAAGTATGATGTATCGATCTGCTTGTTTGTCGCGCAAATTAATGGTTTCATTGACACGATCAATATTTCAAACTTAATTAATTTCCTAAAATTAATGAACGCAATTATTTCGTACTTAATCAATAATTAATATTAAGAAAAAAATACAGTTGTCGAATATAATTTATTCCCAAAGACTGTTCGATCAACAAAACCCTAATTTTCCCAAATAAATATAAATAAATATATTTATACATAAAATCGTATACATAAACAATAAAAATTTATAAAACTTAATACAATATATTAACAATAACAAATTTTAGTGCAATTACCACAAACATTGATTAAATAAACACATTAAATGGATTAAACAACAAATTAAATTCTATTTGTATGTATGAAATAGAGTTGATGGAACTGTTGAGAAATGGGAGATATTTACTTTACGTACATCTCACGTGCTTGTTTGACAATTTACTGGTTGAAGAACCGGCATTTTGTGTTGGAAGCAAAATTATGTTCGCATACCGAGTTTTCACATGCGTTCATCTTACACCCTTGTTTCACATGCGAAATTATGTACGGATACCGAGTTTACGAACATCTCACGTGCTTCTCTGGCTATTTACCTGTATGAGATCAGAAATGTTGTTCCAGGAGTTGTTTTCTCTCGTTATAAATCTCACTTGCTTATTTCGAAGTTAACCTGTTGAAGAACTGAAATTTAGTTTCAATGAGAATTTAAATTATGTTCATATATCGAATATCCCCCCGTGCTTATTGAGAACCGAAATATTGTTCGGATACCCAATTTTCAATGTCATTTACTCTCGCTGTATATTTCACATGCTTGCTTGATACTTTACCTCTTGGTGAACCGAAATGTAGTTTGAGAAGCGAAATGCGGATACCGATTTTTTCATTAATTTTTGGATTTATGTTCGGAAATTGAGGCATTCGTTTTTCCACTGTGTATCTATTTTCTACCTATTTAAATACAAGTAACATTAAGATAATATTCATATCTTTCCGCTTTTCATTTGTGCAAATTACTTTGTACAACAATGCCCGATCAGCAATAAAACGAGCATTCGGGCAAATTTACTGTTCGAAGGGGAGAAAAATACGCTTATCAAACGAAAACGTTAAATGTCGAATTATCGTGTACTGACAAAAAAAAGGCAACCATTTATAAAAATATAATCCAGCCTTTTTTTCTTTATGCACAAGATTAGAAAGTATAAAGTAGATACGTACTGTGATTTCACTGTGCTTGGCTCTAAATTACGAGATGTATAAATAAATTTCGGGAAACGAAAATACGCTTGTATTTTGTATATCGTTCAGATTTTTGTATATTTTTTTAATTGTATATCTTCAAAGTAATTCTTAATTACCGGATGTAATCTGCAGAGGCGTATCAACGTGTTTGTTGTACTGCGGAAGGACGATGGCTTTGCTAGATACTAAAGATTCTCCCTAATTCTTGCACAAAGGGCGTCTCCTAAATTGTATATTATGCAAATACATTCTCGAATTATTTCGTGTTTGTTTAAGACTGGCTTTGGAAGATTAGAATCTTTTAATTGTTTTTTTAATAAAAAGGTTTAATTAGATTTAGCTAAAGCTATGTTTAGATCTGATTGTGCTAAAATGCATTGCTTCGGCTCTTATCGTTCTTAGCTATTTAAATAGACCAGGTGTTTGCACGATTTATACTACCATTGAATACAAGTAATGAGACAAATAGTTGGAATTAAGTGTAAAACTGTAAGAAATTAGATAAAGGTTAACATATAAAATAGCAACGACCCTGTTTAATTATACCAGTTAAGCATGAATAAGTCAGACATTTTTATTGTAAATATTTAATTAAATTTATAATATATAAATTATATTTAAATATTTCTAAATCTATGTATTATAGTATAATCTTCCACTTGGGCCCAAATAAAATGGTAACTGATTTAATTTGAATTATTTGAATAAATACTTATTAAAAAATACATATTATTTCATAATTTTATAAATAATTTAATTGTCTAACATATTCAAATCATTTAGAATCGTAGAATTTATTCATTAATATTTACTTTACTTTAAATATACATTTTTTATTTTATGTTAGAATTTACTTTTTTTTTCTTATGTATTAATGTTTGGCCAATAAATTATTATTATTATTATTAATTTTTAAAATAAAAATTTGAAAATATAATCATTGCTATATGATAAATAAATTATTGTCCTACATAAAATGCTCAATCTTTACATAGGGCTTCTTGTTGAGAAACAAATGATTATATATCAATAATTATTTTATTGCATAGATTTGCACTACACATCAAGGAAAGATATCATTTCTGTTATAGGTTGTATAGTTTTTATTTATTAATAATATTGGGTGATGTAAAAAGTTCTGAAAGTTTTGTCCCATACATCGAGCTTCTTCTTGAGACCAGCCTTATGCAAATGTTCCATACGGTTTACTTGCTAATCTTCAATTCCTGGGCAATAGAATTAGTGCTCGCAAGCTAACTAGACGATTTCCATGATTTTATCAACATTTTCAACCAGAGAGTGTCTCATCTTCGACGATCATATTACCAGAATGGAATCAACGCTGTTGCATTCGATACTGTATTGGGTCTATAAAGAACACATTTTTTTTGGCTGCCTGCTCCTCTTTTCCCTTTGGTCGTAGTGGTACTGAGGAATGTATAAAATTTTCTCTTTTTTACCTCAATTTTTGGAACGCTCTAATACACAATTGGATTCAGTAATTACAAAACTCTCAAAAAAACTTTATTAAAGCATTATGACTCCTTTAATTTGCAGTATAGAATGACAAGATGCAACGTATACATCGTGAGATATGGTTCACTAAAGCCATCTAACGAAAAACGCTAAAAACTTTTTACTTTACCCAATATTTCAAATTTTATTAATTTAAATTAAATTGTTCTGTCACAAAATAATTAAAATGATATAAATAATATTTTATACATAATACTTCTTAATTAGAGCAATATAATCGTTATAATCAATCAATTATAAATAGTAATATAATCAATAGTAAATAAAAATATTTTTCAATTATTAATAATCTTGAAGTAATTATTGTAATTAATATAAATAGTTTTAAATCAAAATTATTATTATTATTAATTGAATTTGGTGCACATATACTTCCTAATTTAATAGAAATAAATTGTAAATAAACAAATTTAATAAATACACGTAATATACTAAATTAAATAATGTAAATATGCCTAAAAAAATGAAATAACTTTAGACAAATTAAATTCAAATATAATTTATGAAAATTAGTTAGATTTCAGCTGTAAACATTTACAGTTACTAATCGAGTTGTAACTGTAAATACACAACGAATAGGACGAGTTCCACAAAATTACATTGTTAAACGAAACTTCTTATGCCCAGTACCTTTGTCAAGTAAATGAAAAGATTTTTTTTTATCGAACAAAGAAAAGTTTTTATTAAATAATCAGTCAATTTACATACAAAGTGAAAATACATTTTAAAATATCAGTATAAAGTTGTTTCTTCTCTCTTTCATTTCAAAATTTCTTAAGCAGAGTTATAGCCTTTAACACTACTTAGTAATAAACCTTAAAAGAAAAAACGTTTTTATTATTATTTAAACACTTATTTAAATCATTGTTTGTTAACATTTTTGGCACAGAAATTTCTTTAATTTTGTCATCATTGTCTTTCTAACAAGATTTTCTAAATCTTCAACTAAAAACAATCATCTGCATTCAATAAATTTCTAAAATCTGGATATATATATTTAATTCTTTGTAGGATAATTATCGGGCTTTGGCTTTAAATTGGATTCTTTTTTTTAGTTAAATGAGGTTTTCAATTGCGGACTTCGTTATATCGAAGCTTTGTTATCAGAGATAACGATTAACGAGATTATCGAACGAGATTAACGAAATGATTGTAATTGTTATTGTAAGATTAATATTTTAGATTTATCATTTCTGAAAACAAATCAAATCCATAATCAATGGCATCATTAGGTTCTTTTCCTTTCAGTAATTAGTGCAAAAACAAATTTCGAACTCTTCATTATAAAGGTTCTTTTAATAAAAATAAAAATTAAATGAAAACTTTTCTTTATACTTGGGAAATGAGGGCAATTTTTCAATATGAACTCTTCGACGTTTTAATTTGTTATTTTTTTTACTTCCTGTCACGTTATTGTGACTCATACTAACGAGGTACATTTGCTTCAATATAAGCAATAATATTTCGTCAAAAATTTCAAGTAAATTATTAATTTATGTATCTCAAATATAGAATAGATTTATTCCTCAATAGAGACAATGTACTGTACTTTTGGACCATAAAATACATCGGAAGATAAGACGCACCCCAAATTTATGGAACGATTATTACAAAAAAACAGTACATTTGAACCATAAGACGCAATCCAATTTTTAATTGATTTGTTTGTCTTATAGTTCGAAAAATACGGTAATTTATATAACTTTACTTAAATTTCTTTGAATTATACTATTGACAATTAATAAATAAACAATTGTTTATAATAAATATATTTGTGTGTAAAAATTAAGTAAAATAATTGATAGAAAGTAAAAGAATTTAATATAATTAATTAGAATTATTAATTCAATTGCGAATATGTCAAGAAATGTAAACAATTTGAAAAATGTAAAGTTAAAAAGTACAATGGTTAACTTAAACTTTGGGATCGATATGCACTGAAATGGGTCTGAAAAAAGGGAAACATACAACAAACTTATATTTGCAAATACATGATAATTGAAACATATAGAAATACCTCGGATAGTGCCGCTTCGATCAGTCCAGATTCACTATAGGCCGTAGTGAACATTTCAAAACAAATTTTAAATATAAGCAAGGTAGATATTTTGTTTATATACATAAATAATTAAATTGTTATATAGTATAATTCTCTTTTGATGCTGTTTATTTCTATGTTATTTTATTCCTCTATTAGTTCAGTTTTAAACAGTCCGGGATTGGTGAATTACCGTCACTATGCAAGGTTTTTCTGTGTATAATCTGTGTACATATTTGAATAATTAAATAATCCATTT